AATTAGCTAAGCTCTCTCTCTCTTTCTGTATGTTAACAATAGACAAGTAAACCAGACTAGTCTGGATGTTTGCCATTAGGACAATAAAATGAAAGTACAGCAGCACAAAAGGCAGCAAAGCAACTAGAATTAATTAACTAGGCAAGGAGTCAAACGTTACGTGTTATTTAACAGCTATCTGAGCACTATTTAACAGAAGTATTTACAACAGGTAAAGCATCAGCTAAAACAACATGTCAACAGCAACTAAAGCAACCACAGTAGTTTTCTCAGCTGACCTTACAATTTGTTCAGTTTTTACTGGAGCATATTTTGCATTTCTTTTCTATTCTGTCTTTTCTGTTGTACAACTTTACTTGAAAGTAAGAAATCATTGTCATATTAGGTTACTATTTAGCGAACTTATTCCTGTTCTTTCTGATTTGGGAGAAAACAACATTTAGCATAACTGAAAATGTCAGTGTCTTGAGTATTTGACAATGAACAAGTATCCCCTTTATTTCAGTGATGATTCGCATATGAAATAATTGTATAATGAATTGAGGATATGGTATTTCTTTTCAACCTGTAAGCAGTACAGGCCTGTGAAAACTAGGCATGTGATTCTACAAATACCCACATGTGTAGCAGAAGTCTAGAGGCCATACTCCTTTCAAATCCCAGACTAGGTCAGTAGGCACTTTTCATACTGTAGGAGGAACACTTGAAGCCAACCAGAGTCTTCAAGGAAGAAATAGGTTTCCTAGGAGGATTGTGGAATCCAGATTATTGCAGGTTTTTAAGAAGAGATTTGACAAGTATTCATCATGGTCTAAATATGCTCAGTCCTCTCTTAGAACAGGAAGATGAACTCGAGTATTTTTGAGATCCTTTCTAGGACTTACAGGCAATGTAGTCTTTTCCATGCCAATAAAATTAAGGGATATGGTTAGAGTGCAAACTGCCCTCTTAAGATTTTGGCTTATTCACCTACAGTAGCACAATTAACAGTTCTACTCTGCTTCAACTTGCAAGTTTTTCTTCTCTCTTTCCTTGCCTCTTCTTCCTGCGAGCTGAAGAAGGCAAGAGATCCGATAAAAGACCAGTCTATTTGTTAATCTAAGTACTTATATCCATTGACATTCTGGTGCAGTTAATTCTACAAGCGTCTGCACTGTGTAAGTATTTCCTTTTCTCCCTCTAAAACTTACTGCATTTCAATGTAATTTAATGTTTCCCAGTTCTTTTATTACATAAAGGGAAAAGAGAAGTGTTTATTCTTTGCTTTGTATATCTTTGTCATGTCCCTTTCTATTTGCTGTCTTCTTAAACATTCCCTATCATTTCAGTTTCTCAACATATAAGAGCTTCTCAGTGTTATTTAACTTTCTCCCCACATAATTTAGAACCTCCCTCTATTCCTCCTTTTTGAAAAAGGATGACCACAACTGCATACAGCATGCCAGCCAAGGATACTTCATTGATTTATATCAGGAGTGTAAAATTCATCTGGCTTTGCAGGCCAGATGAGTCGTAATGGACTGGTCTGTGGCCTGGATTGGGTCCACAGACCCTCCCCGCCCTTCTCACACCTCCCTACATGCCAGATCCACCACATGCAGCAGTCATTCCAGGTGCTCTGGGATCTGCACTGCACATGACACTTACTTCAGCTGGCCCAGGGCCCATGCTGCATCCAGCGCATCCCACACTAGTGTGGGGCCAGAGGACACCACATTCAGCGCAGATCCCAGAGCAGCAGTGTACAGCACATGTCCTGGGCCCTGTCTGTGAGGCCAGGCTGGTGCATGTGGGTCAACTCAGACACAGAGCAAGCACTGAGGCCAGGCAATGTATCTGGCCCCTGGGCCATATGTTTCACACCCTTGATTTTTTTATAGTAGCATACAAATATTTTCAATGTTTTACCCCATCCCAATTTGATTGTAGCTTTGGCTGCTGCTGCACATTGAGAAGAGGTTTCCACCAAGCTGTCCACAATGATACCCAGGTCCATTTCCTGAATCCCACAATATGTAAGTCAAGTTACTCCTTCCAGTGTGTGTTGCTTTGCACTTTTTCAGCAACAAATGCAATGTATCAGCCTGCTGTCAATTTACCAACCTTTACAAAGTCCCTGTGAAGAGTTGTATTTAAGCAAAGCTACCAAGGTTTTAAGAATAAATGAAATGGTGCTGAATATACTTTGTCCTTGGATATACTTTAAGCCAAATCAGATTTGGCAGTACTATTTATGCCTGCATTGCTGAAACACTTTGTCAGCAATGGGTAGTTTTCCAAGTGTACAGAATGTTTTAATATTTGTGTGAGTGTGTTTCTTCCATTGGATGGCTGAAGTTTAGAGAAAAAAAACCCCCAAAGGTACTCCTTTAGCAAACAGAGTTCCTTTCTTAGCTGCAGTAGCAGAAGTTTGCATTTTTGAAGATGCAAGATCTGATAGTCCTTGCTCTGTAGGTGTCTACTTTATGTTGAGGTAACATAACTGGTTTTACTGTGGACAGCTTTGAAGGTAGCTGCAAACAGAATTTTGTATATAGGAAAGATACAAAATATTATGCATAAACAGAAATAAAAGCACCCATAATCGTTTGCTGTAAATATATTGCTGTTTTGGGGTAACATACAATAGTTAAAAAATTTTACCCAAAAATTTAAATTACACCAATATAAACACTGACAGGAAAATCAGAGTTAATTGTGCTTTAAATTAACATCCAAGAGCTTTTGGTCCATTTTATTTGTAATACATAAGCGAGACATAAGTACAAAAATGCAGTTTTATTCCTTTAAGTTATGCACAAACATCCAATAAAAGAATAAATAGAAAGTGCACTTTAAGGCCCTGGTCCTACAAATAGATGAGTATCATGAAATCCTACATAAACATAAGAGACCCCTTCACTGTAATGGGGCTTTGTGCTAGTGCAGGGAGGCAGCACTAGTGCATCATCTCTTTGAAGCATCAGGGCCTTTACTTTAGTAAAGGGATAGTCAAGATAATGAACTGTGGTTCACTAGTTTCGAGTACATTTCTAGATCCCCAGTAGATTGAATGTATATTTTTACTTATTTTTATTTGCTCACTGGGTTTCCCCAAGTGTGCTGGGAATCATGCAGATAATTCAATGTGACATGGAAACATGCTCTAAGCCGGCATGGCTATGCCTACTACTTAGTGGTTGATCTAGTCCAGTACCTGGCTCTGACAGTAGGCAGTATGACATGCTTTGGAGAAAGATACAAGAAACTGCAACAGACAATTATAAAAATAAATTACCCCCAGATAAAGTTTCTTCCTAAGCCCTATTACTCAGAAGTGGGTTTTTGCTCCACCACAGGAAGCCTTCTGTTCCTTTTAAAACTCTCTAGATTTAGATATTTGTCCATTACTTTTTGTTTAATCTTTTGCCTAAAGCACGGGTGTCAAAAGTAATTCGGTCCCTGTGGGTTTGATCCCTGTGCGGCTTCTCATGGGCCCGATGATCTGTGAGTGATGGCAGCAGCAAAGCTGCTGTATCGGCGCAGCTCCAGAACCCAAGAGTTAACATGGCCACCACTTCCTCTGCTGTTGGTGATTTTAGTCACCAACATTAACTATAAACCTTAAATTCAGTATCAGGGTAGAAGGTGGAAAAAATAATGTTAATTCTTTGGGTTCCATAGCTACACTGATGCAGCAGTTCCAGCCATAGGCCCCACAGGCCAAATCAGACCATGGAGGTGGATCATCCAGCTCACAAGAACTCCTGTGGGCCACATGACCCATTCAAATGCAGCCCACAGTCTGTATTGTTGACACCACTGCCCTAATATAATTGTGGGCTTTCCTGCAATCCAGATGAATATCCAATCTTTTTTTTAATCCTGTTTAGGTCTCAGCTTCCTTGATACAGTATGAGAATGGTTTCCACAAGCAAATGGTTCCTGCCCCAGCAATTTGACAATCAAATATCATATTCCTGTTAATACCTACTACCTACACATGCACTTTGGTTCTGAGAGTTGCAGGTCTCACATACATAAATTAGTCATGTGTGGAGTCTAAGATGGCATACAGAAATTGTAGAGATAATGAACACGCTAGATGAGGGGAAAAAAGATATGTTATAAGGTATTTGTTTTAATTTGAATTATTTTATTATTAATTATTATTTGATCCATAACAATCCCCATTTTTATTTACTTAGCCCCATGCTTAGAGTCATGCCGTCACCTCTGCCTGTTTGGTGTATGCTGTTACTCTTAGCCTGTTATCCTTTGCTGTCACTTCAATATTTTAATTTTTTTTTAAACTTATCTCTCTTGCTGTTTATGGAGTTAGTTTTAATTTTAGCCCTTCCTATTTTAATTATTAAACTATTTTGGTTTTCCTATCTTTATAGTGTATTTTGTTTTTGCTATTTTTAAACTTAAAGCTCTGTTTTATTTTTATGTGTAACTAACCTTTACCAATTTTTGGATTAATTTATGCCCTATGAGTAGAGACATCAATGTGACAGCTCATTGTGCACCAAGGTAGGCCTGTATTTAAGCCTTGACAAAATTACTGCCCTATTTATTATGGAGATAGTGTGCCACCTTTTGTCATGTTGATTAGCTACCTATATGCTCTGGGTAGACTCAGTGATTCCCCTCAGATAAGACACTTTCCATGTAAGTTGCAGAATCCTGCCCTAAATTATTTTTTTAGCCTCGCCTTTTTTAGAACTGTTTATATTTCAACTCATTGCTTGCTTGTCTTTTTTAAATATAAGGATTAAATGTTGAAAATAAAAGGGACACAGTTGAAGAGAAATTCAGAAATTAGCAGCAGAGGAGATGAGCAAGCTATGAACATCTCTTGATATATGTTTGTGCACTACGTTGCTCAGTGGAGTTGCAGTCTTGCCTGGGGCCTCTAGGCTTTACTGTAATTCAAATAAATAAGAATAAAATGCCCTATTTACTCAGTGACTTACAGACAAGAGTTTGCTTGGACAGACACAATGCTATGGCTGTTTTCACTGTGATTTAGTTTTGAAGAGTACATCCATATAAGCGTTGTCCAAATCAATGGGTTTCTTTTGCACGGCTGCCCGCAGGTGCTCAGGGAGGAGCCTCCGTCTTCGGACCTCTCCCAGGACATCATCCTTCTTTCGGGGCCTACCATCCACCAGCGCTTCAGGTGCACTGTGCACATCTTGCAGTTTTAACTGAAGCCAGTCCTGTCTCTCCACAGTATGCAGGTGTTCCCCCAGGTTGTGCATCAGCTGCATCTCACTCACTGACCGCTTCCTTGTAGGAAAGAATAACAATGAAACAGCCTCTTAATAGTCCTTCCCTGAATTCTTGATCTCTATCAAAGCCCTGGATTGGAAACTTTTGGGATACAATGCAGTGCAAGATGCATCTGCAGAACCTGGCCTTTTACTCAATAAGGGATGTACTGTTATCTGGCACAACGAAAAATGGTGATTTAATTAGTAGCAGATTTATTAGTGTGAGGAGGCTCAGAAGTTTGAAACAGTCTAGTCTGTATTGTGTAAGTATTGGGTACTGCCATCATTTATTTGGATTATAATTGTATTTATGTAATTGATCAATACCATGAAAATAAAGTATGTTGCTAAAAACATCTCCAAGCTCAAAAATGTATGACTATATACTTACGTCACTGATCTTCCATCAGACTTTGTAAAGAAACAAATTGCATATAAAATGATAGCAATCTTGGTCATATCTTTAATAGAAATCATGTTAGCTGTAAGACAGAAAGAAAGACAAAAATTGATGAATCTGTTTCAAATAATTTCCAACTAATTAAGCAAAGGGAGCAATTTGGGTAACATAGGGCAAAGTTTTAAAGGCAGGCATATTCAGAAAGTGACTGAGAAATGTTTTTCATGTGTAATGACTAGAATAAGGGATTTAGGATTGTGAAGAACTGACTTCTATTCTTAATTTTGCCAGTGACTTTGGCAAGTCTCGTACCTTCTGTGAGCTTCAATTTCCCCATTTATCATGTGGTAATAATACTAACCTAACTCTTAACATCTTTGGATGCAAAGCATCACTAGTTGCAAAATATTACGGTTATGATTTATTATTCATTTCTATCTCATTGAAAAGATATTTTTAAGTACTTTGAAATACTTCTGTACATCCATGATGCCCACGGTAGCATTCTTTTATGTTTCCTGTTTCTCAGTAGGCATGTTTATATGTTCATTAATGAGCCTTAGATACTGCGCATTTAGTTTAGTACTTCTTTAATAAAGTACTAACTAAATGCACAGTACCTAGAGTTACTGTGCAGTAGCATTGGTGCAGGGTTATTTAGGGACATTTACTGTGCAGTAGACTAATAGCACTGCACAGTAGGCTATTAGCATGGTTTTTGCTGTGACATGCTACTGCGCAGTGTTATTAGGCTCATGCACAGTAAGTGTCTGGTGTTAGATGCACCCAGTGAGTTGCATTTTCTGATTTTCCTGACAGAACTAAGAATTTGATTTTACTCTAAGCCAGTTTCACACTGGTATAATTCTACTGAATACAGTGGTATTATTCCCCATTTTGACTTATGTAAGTGGGATAGTAATCAGTAGGGATCCTGGTTTTCTCTGAAAAAAAATCCCCAATTTTTGGATTAAAAGAGTAACCCCAAATCCACATTTTTCCATGATCAAAATGAAACATCACAATATATATATATTTCCATGATTAAAATGAAACATCACTATATATATATAATGATGTTTCATTTTAATCATGGAAATATATATTTTTATATATATATATATATATATATGTGTGTATATATATATATATATTTCCATGTACATATATACATATATGTATACTACTATTCATAATTTCATAGCCTATTGTTAACAACCATAAAAAGTATAATTTTACTTTCATTCAATATGTTTAACATAATCAGAAACAGACTAAAAGTGTGCAGCCTGAAATATCTTTTGAAATAAAATCACTTGTGTAAAATAAAAGAAAATATAGCATACTTACCAAGTAATATCTTAAACAGGTCTCTGCTTCAGATATGTCAGCAGCTGACTGTCTTCGGAGTCGAGTATATTTAAAGACTACTGAATTGGTCTAGTGGACCCCTTAAATGTAACTTTAAAATAGAACTTCTAAGTAACTAAGAAGCCCTTTTATTGTCTCAGTTGATGTCACTCCCAGCACACACCCCCTGACCCTCATGTACCCACCCTCTTATGGTTTTGTTAATTGCGCATTTAAAGAAAGAGAAAAGAAAGGTTTAAGATAAAAGAAAGTATCCTGGGTAACCCTGAAGAGGTTTGACTTTTGGGGAATCTGATTTTGGGTTAGGAAGAAAATGCAAGTAAGACAATTATCAATGACTGAATTTATTGATCAACTTTAAATGTTAATGACTCCACAGATGACTAAACACAGTAACCTTTTAAAGCAGAGTACAATGACTATATGAAGTAAATCCCATGTTACAGGAGCCTTTACTAAACAAGACCCATTCAATTTTGACCCTAAATATCTTATTCCAGATTGTTACGTTATTCTCTAAAAAGAAAAACTAAGTATTTTCAAAAGATAATTTCAGTTCAATATTGAAAATTGCTTTGAATGCACCTGTTGCAAAATAGAAAAGATTAAAAATAGTAAAATGGATGAAATATTCACGCAGCTATTTTTAACTAGCTAAATTGCCATTTCTACTAGAAACACTGTTTTAATTTTACAAAAGGAATGCTGATTCTTTTTATTCCTTACCTTTCTAACAAAGTAACAATTATGAGGACAGATCATTTCAATTGGATAGCATGGCCCCTGTTCAGCAGAGTACTTAATCACATTTATAACTTGAATCATGAGAGTAGTTCCACAGAGTTGCTGAATTTGGGTCATGGTCTTGATTAAATACCATTTTTTAGAAAATTAAAAAATATTGCCAAGAACCTTGAATCAATGTAGACTTTGATAAAATTTTAGCATTAACATGAATATATACATAGATACATGTATATTATATATTAAAGACTGACTTTATCTCACCCTCTCTGTATAACTTCAGACACTTCAGGGTTCAATGATGAAGTCCAGGAAAGCAAGGTAGGATCCTAAAACGTATGTATTAAGCAGCAGTACCATGCTGTTTCATAAGTTGTATATATTCTTATTTTGTTGTAGAACTACAGAAGGGATATTGTAAAGAAAGGGTCCTATTCTTAAAACCTCACTGAGGAGAACAGCTTAGCTTATTTACCAACAAGTGGGACTACTCTTGTGAGTGAGGCTCCAGGATCAGACCATCTGAAAAACCTTCTTAGGGCCCATTTCTGCAAAGATCACCGTATAAGGGGAAACCAGGCACTCACTTGGAGTGCCACTATTTCCACAGTGCTCCATGGAGGGAGAGGAATCCATTTGCATGGCTTTCATGGCAGGACTTGAGCTTTTGTTGAACCATTGAAAGACTTGATCTTGCAAGCTTTCCTATTGATTTTCAGCTCATACTTTATTTATAGCAGCTTGCCAAATCTAGGGACATTTGCGTGTGTTTTATTTGGAGAAGAAAAATCATAAGACCACCGTGATGGTTCTTATGGATTTTAAAAAAAATCAAAATATGGTTTACATGGCGAAGGAAGACTTTTGTTACACTGTGTTGAGGAAATAATATTTGAAAGCAAATAAAGATGAGAAGGAATAGCTGAAATGTTACATAGTTAAGAGTATTTTACAAACTGAGTTTTATTTATTAGTTTGGACTTTATGCTCACGTATCAACTGTCATCAGAGGATTTAGCACATGCCAGAAGGGGAAGTACATGTTGTTATCCCCATTTTACATAGAGGTAAGATGAGTGACAAAGGTTTAGACTCATCCAAGTCAGTCAACAGCAGAACTGTGAATAGAACCTAGAGCTACTCTTAACACTCCCTGTTCTGTTAGGCAACAGCTTTTTCAACTTCTGCAAAGAGCAATGTTGCTCTATGAATAAATGCTTTATTCCATTGTCACTGCACAGAACTTGGTAAAAGGTCATATCTGCTCAAATTTTGTTCTAGAAATAGCTGTTATGTTCTGAAAGTTTTAAAAATATCCTTCTTCACTAATAATGAGCTTTTTTAAACTAGGGGGTAATATTCTTTTGTACAGGAGGCACATGAATAGCAAGTTATTTGGTTCTGAGAAATCATTGTCAATAGGTGCAAAAAAAATGAGAGGTTATTCTTAGGAGAATATGACTGGGCTGTTATTTTATGAGTTGTTTCCAGTTCTTTGAAATATCAAATGTCTGCTACAGTTTATGAAACTATGCAAAGGGAGTAGAACGGCTATGTAACATACCTTGTGCACAGGTAAAAACAGAGTAATTCTGCTTTATTTGAATTGGCTATTACTGACCTTAGAAAGGAAACAATACAGAGATGCACTCCAAAGTGCATTGCAGTAATATCTTATCCATTACATCAGACTTTGTAGCTGTAGGCAACAGACAATGGCACTTCAGAAGGGGAGGATAGGGCGTGATGATGCTGGAGTCACTCTGTGGGAAGGAAGAGCTGACCACAACCTTTTCCTCTGAAGAGCTTGATCAAGCACAGAACTACCCTTCCCTGACCTTCACGTATTGATTGAATGGATACTTTAACTAACTGTGCATGATGTTACCTTGCATTATTCCATTTTCAGGAGGAATGCCACCTTGCCCTGTATTTGTGTCACTGCATATCATTAGACTCTTATTACCTGCAAGATAGATTTTTTCAGTTTGGGAGATGGATGATGATAACATTCTTAAATTACAGACTCTAATACCCTTTCTGAATTATATTCATTTTAGCAAGAGATAAGGTTATTTTGAGTGAGATCATTCACAGACTTAAAATTAAGCACATGCTCAGTGCATTACTGCAACAAAGCTAGAAAAACACAGCACCCTTCTGGATTACTCCCTAGATAATTCAAATAAATTTTCATAAATTAAATATGCATCTCCATGAAATTATACCCCTGGAGATTTCTAATGCATTACAAATCTAATTAAGGTTAAAATATTTAAATGACATATTTCTGTTTTAGTGACAGTGTTAGAATTTCATCCTTTGTATTGGTAGGAGCTCTCAGCTAAACTGCATTGTAATCACCTTGTCCTAGGAGAATATTACTAGAATTCTGAGCTGAGGGAAGAGGAGGATGGATGGTGACACACTGGCTGACTGTGGTGAGGCAACCTTTCTAAATGTGTCTGAGGAATGTTTCTGTCTTGACACAATGCAGATCCAAAGTGACAGTCAGTAAACTCTTTAGATCTTCATTTGATTGACAAGATTTGTGGCTTTTCAAATGCCTCAGCAGGATGTTTGGTAATTTATGTAAGCGGTGTGACGTAACTTTAGGTGTCTCTTGGGTTACCACAGTGAGCTGAAGTTTTAATCAAGTTAATTCCAGTTAAAGATGAAAAAGAGAGAAAAAAAACCTTGTGTGAAATTCAAAATGAAGCCCACTACAATTTTAGAAAAGCCAGTTTGTGTAGTGCACTTCACTTTTTAGCAGCCCCTACTAAATCTGAGTTCAGAAACAATACCCTGCAGTATCCTGCAGTTTGATAGCACCTTCCATCTGATGATCTTACCATAGTTTGCAAACATTTGTGAACTGCCTCAGTTCTCCTGTGAATTATTATTATTATTACTATTATTTGTGGAAACTTAGGAAAGGGAGGTCAAATGCCAACATAATTCAGAATC